CTACCATATCAACATTTCAAAAAAAGACAAAAAAATTTAAGGAAAATTTCCATATATGTCAAAGTAATTTCATGGCTATATAAATTCCTATATATTCATTTCATGACCAAACGAATTCTTATATAGCACTTCATGGTCAAACGAATTCCTATATATCATTTCATGGTCTACCATATCAACATTTCAAAAAAAGACAAAAAAATTTAAGGAAAATTTCCATATATGTCAAAGTAATTTCATGGTTATATAAATTCCTATACATTATTTCATGGTCAAACGAATTCCTACATATTCATTTCATGGCTAAATAAATTCGTATATATTCATTTCTTAGTCGAGAAAATTCTGCAATGTTTCATTCATTTCGTATTACATATTTCGAAAATGACGATGGGAGAAAAGGAAGATAATTATTGAAAAAAATTGAGAGAATAAACAAATTCATATTGGCTTATTATAATTTCTATCAAATTGTTTGGAACAATGGAAATAAGAAGGAAAATATATACTTCGTATTTTGAAAAAGAAAAGTTATGCAATAAAATGATGAAATGAACCATAAACTGTTTTTAATCATTTTATTCAGCTAACCAAAAAATTTTTCTTTACTTTCAATATTTAATGGTTGTTGGAGGAAAAAAAGGAACAAACGATGGGTATAAACTTCGATGCTATCTGATACATTCAACAATACCCAAAAAGAAAAACATTTTAGAAAATTTTTATTTCAAAAAAATTGTTCTAAAAAATACATTTTAATGGATCGTTCTCCGTTTAGATTTGATGTATCGCTCTTTCCCTTTCTTTTTTTTGAACTTCAAAGAAGCACATTTATGAACATTTCTTTTTTCCTTTTCCTTCTCTTCCTTTCTTTGATACATCGTAAATTTTATTCTTCTATTTAAGCAATATCAAGCCAGAAAGAGAGAGAGAAAAAGGAAGAACAAGAAAGGGAGAGAAAAAAAAAAGATTAAAGCTAAAATACGATTGAGCAGCTAATTATCCGAAATTGTACATGATAAATAAGAGTGAACAGGAAAGTGAAAGATTGAAAATATCTTTAAAGTTTGAATTTTTCATGTGAAATTACTAAAACATAACTGTGATATATAGCTATGATAATCATACAAAAGAAATGTGTTGATAATGTTGGCACACTGATAAATAGTGTTAAATGATAGTAGGCAGATTGTTTTTAATAAAGATTATTTTGCTTAAGGGTAAATGAGAATCAGTGAAGAATATTGATGTAAAATATTGATAAATTCATTTCAAATTCAAATTTGTCTTGCAGGAAGTCGTGAAGGTTCTGGCGATCGTGGAATGCGTGGAACATTTGCATTTGGCTCATCAACACCGCGCATTTTATCACATTTATACGGTATAACACGAGAGTATGGCAATGATAGAATAAATCCACAAGTTGGCCGACGATCCTACACGACACCGACTTTTCCAACACTACGTTTCAAGACAAGTTCCTTTTTTTTTCTCCAATCAAATAATCGAGTTTTCATTGAGCCTGAAAATGACATTTCTATTAATTGAAAATCACTTAGTTTATTTTGTAATTGTCATAATCAATCATTTATTTATTAAAATTTTAGCAGGCGCATCAATGAATATCCAGACAAAACGAAACGATGAATTGATCAAGAAGCCAAGTGATAAGAATACATGTCGAGTACAGTCAACGAGTTATCAATCGAAAGAAGGAAGTGAGGAATTCATGAATTCTGTGAAAAAGAAGCTGGAAGCAAAGAATAATCAAGCAAAATCGATGAAAAAAATTGCTGCTAAGGAGAAGCCGTCGAAAAATGAAAAAATTGATGGAAGCAAAACATCCGTTGAAAAGAAATTTACTAAAACTGACTTGCCTGAAGCATTCGAGAAATTATCTTCAGTGCGTGCCGGATTTGGAAATGAACATGAAGCCTGGATTGCTAAAGAACCAAAGTCGGAAACAACATTTGCTGAGGAAAGACAATTGTTAACTGCTGCTAGTACAGTTGAAGATGAAGTAAGACCATTGTCCACGGAGAAAATTGTAGCAAACAGTGTAAAAACATCAGAAGAAAGCGGAACTATTAAGATTCTGCATGCGGAAAAGTCAGAAGGACCTGAAATTGATGTAAACATTCAGTCAAGATCAACTGATCATGATAATTTGACGGATACATTTTCAATCATTTCCAAAACAGATCATATGGAAACGGAACACAAAAATGAAACAGGACGAGAATTGCCCATTAATTCAGAATCCGAAAAACGTGAGTCATTACCACCGTCCACTACTCTTATTAATCTGACCATTGATTCTGGTACTTCATCTACAAAATTATCATCAGTTACTGATAAAACATTTAGCCAATCTAATGACAGTAATGAACTGAAGGACTGTCAAAAAAGTTCAGAAGATGAGATTAAGGATGGAGAAACGGTACCGGAAACTTCAATCAATCCAGAATCAGAAAATGATAAATTGTCAAAAATAGAAAAATTGATTCCGGAAAATTTGCATCAATTACAAGGAAGCAATACTGTAGCATTCAACACTCAATCTGAGCATGCAAATGCTGAGCATGAAATAATTTATAATCATAGCTATTATTCCGGAACTCCAATATCACAGGAATGCATTAAAATATCTGATTGTGAAAATTCTTTTCATGAATGTGAAAGAAGGAAATCTGAAGATGTTAGTGCAGATGTTTCTGTGCTATGAAATTTATAAATCGATAATTCACGGAATTGAAATCTCTCAGTTGATGGCAGTGATTATGAATTGAATTCATCATACCTGTATACCTATCATATATTTCTTTTAATGTACATATTTGTAGCTATTACTCTTCATAAATTATCTTTTGTTTCCGATTAGACAAATCTGTAATGGGATATTTCAAGAATCTTTTTGCACAGCTCTCAGATTCCTTCATTTTATGAGAATTGAAGGAAAAAAAAAATCTGCCGATATATATCACTTATAATATGATATAGAATGTAAGGTTACATTAAAATATTTCATGTATGATATTGCTTTTCTTTAGATTCGTTAATTAATTAGTCATAAAATTAAATCTAAAATAATTATCATACAGTCTAATATGTTATCACAAATCTCACTAAAATTAAAAAGTTCATATTTGATGGGATTAATTGCAATGAATTTTTTTGATTAAGCAATTTAAATATTACCAACATCATAACAAAATCTGAAAAATCTTCTTTTAAAGAATTTAAAGTTTGAAATAATTTTTGAGATAACGTCGAATTTTTTTCTAATTTAAAGTAATTTCATTAGTTTATATATTCCTTTTCAACTACTGAAAGTTTTCTCACCATTTCTCACTTAATATTAACACTTTTCTTCTCTTTTATCATCCAGAAGAAAAAAAAGGAGAGAGAAATCGATTGGTGTAAAGATGGAGATGGCCTTCTTCTTTTCTGTTTTATGACCAATGAATAGGTGACATTTATCGTTTGATTGACGTGAATGATATTCCGCAATGATAGCAATTCAGCTGTTGCAACAGGAATGAGGAAAAAGGAAGGGAAGGGCAGAAAAGAGACTGAGATGGTATTTATCGTTGACATAATTATTTTTTGGGACTAATAAAATGAATGTAAATGGAAATTTTATTTTTAACGAATTTTCTGAACTTGTATTATATGTTATTAAGTTAGCATTGCATTTCACTTTAATCATTTTTAAATTCATCCTTTCTGTTTTCCTTTTTGATTATCGAAAGGCTAAAAAGAGATATAAGATGAAGTATGGAAACCTTCCTATCATTATTTGTCCTTTCAAAAATCAAAATATTCTAGAAATGAAGAATTAGTTGTCGATAGAGTGGTTTCGCAAAAAAAAAAAAAATTAGAATAATAATTTACCAGAAATGATATATTTATGAATAGCTAATGCTAACCGCACCTAATTATTTATCATAACTATAATTCTCTTTTTTTTGAAAAAGAATTCAGATTCTTAGAATTTTTTTAGAAATACTTCCTTAAATCTAACATAGGGATAATTGAGACCAAATATGATATAAGTGTCATATTCGCATCATGAATATCGCAGGGGATCTCTTTAAAAAAATTCTATTTCATAGTGACCAAAGGTCGGACTACTTTTTATATTTCCATCAGAAAAATCACGCAACGGGAAACACTAAAATCACTAAACAAACGATTTGTAAGCAAATAAAAGTGACAACAACAAATAAAAAAAAACCATATATCAATAATTAATTACCGAGCACAAATGCAAGCTGCCTACACAATGATATTATAAGTAGATAAAATAAGTGGAAAAATGATAAATATTATACTCCATCACTGCTTTACAGAAAGTGCATCTTAACTTCATTTCCCACTTGAATGATTATCGAGTAATAATGTTAGTAGGAAAATATTACTTTTGTCTCCCTTACCGTCTCTGTGCAAATTTTCGAGGAAATATACAATTTTCCGCAATCTGAACTTTGTCTAAAACTAACTAGACTGAAACCCTTGAAATAATAACAGTCAGAAAAGTAGAAAGACAGGAAAGGAAAAGAATAAACGGAAAAGTACAGAATATCAACCAATTCAAAAAACACCGGTAGCTGATAAAATGGTTGAAAGGCACTTTGCAGAATATTAAAATAAGGTAAAAACGTTCATATCAGGTCAAATTTTTTGATAAAAGATAATCTATATTATTTTCCGAAAAAAAATTTCTTCATTTTTAATCAGCATAAGAATATTACAACAAATAAGCGAATTCTTTACATCTAACTCATTCAAATGAAATACAACAAACTGATATAAATTCACTAACCACTGGCAATAAAGAGGAATGAGAACAGGAGCGACTAAATGATTAATTCGTTTCACCAAATAAAATAGAACTTAGAATGAAATATCGATCTCGGAAAAATTCAATATTTTTTCAGTTTAGGTAGAAACGAATCGACTCGATTAATCCACAAATTAGCACACTGCTTATGATATATAGTACCAGTAAATTCAAGCATCGAATTTGTGGAAACACGTAATAAACAAATACCACATAATGATGGAACGATTTCGTTGATTGTTTCTCCCAAATGATTTGTATCTTCACTATCAGTGTTTTTTCTCTCTAGGAAGCATTCCAGACGTGCCCATATTTTGTCGATTTTATCAAACAGTTCTTTTTGCGTAACCAGTTTATCTATTCTTCCTTTCCTTATCCTAAGTGTCTGTAAAAATAATTCATCGACCTAATTACCAAAATAGCAAAATATTCCATGTATTACTAATTTTGCCAAATTAAAAGAAAATGAGAATTGTCATCTACTATACTCTAGAAATTCATCCTCAAGAATATCCACGGGTCAACTTCAGTCCTACCAGTTTTCACCATTATATTCTTCAAATGAAACATGCTTGAAAATTAATAACAAGCAAAAATAAAAATAATATAACCATCAAATGATTCCGAAATTTCTTTCAATTAATTACTCACACCACTTCACATTAATTAGTTCAACTATGATCCCTCCTGGATATAGTACAACCTTTTCATTTCCACCTTATATTAGGCTCCTTTTTTAATAATGCATTGATATTATCTAAAATCCACTTCTACCATTATCAAATCACTTGAGAATTCAAGAATTTCTTTCGATTAATCATTCACACCATTTCATTTTATAGGATAAATTACTAAAAAAAAAACAAACCCTTGTTTTTGGCTTTAATTCATATTTAAAATAAATTTAAGAGAACACAAACAAGATAACAAGATAACTGTTTTCAATTTATTTTTAAATATGTGTAAAAATATATATTTGAAATAAATTTTCATGTAAAAAAGTATTAATACTGACCATTTCATGAATTTCATAAAGTGCTTCCAAGTACCTCGCACCACGATCAGTATGAGCGATTTCTGCAATATGTGCCGTTGCTGAACAAGGTAGTAATGAATCCGCATCATTTAACAATTTATATGCTTCCTCAATGCAACGCCGCCAAACATAAAGACATTCCTCCTATAAAGTATGTATTTGCCAATAATTCTGACAAAATAACTTTTCTTCTCTATTTATCAATCAAAGAAATTACTTGTATTCACTCCTTATAATTCAATACTAAGTAATCAAATAAAACTGTGTAAACGACACATACTTCTCTGTCACTGTTTTCACCGGTTATCAATTTCATGGTCGCATAAATATCCGAGCCTAAAATTAGAAGTTTCTCTTCTCTGAATGCCATAATCGTCAATGTAACTACAAAAATAAAACTTTTTAGTAGCTTAGAATTTGCAGGATAACAAAATACAAAATATTTCACAAGTTTAAACTGCAAAACTTAATAATTAAGTTTCAGCGAGACACCACCACCATGCTCACTTTTATACTGCAGTTAGTTGCTTCATTTTTGGTGCTGATAATTTCGCTATTGGAGAAATGAATGTTTTCATAGAGAAAAAGAAATTAGGAATTAAGGAAATTAAGTGCACTACAAGATGAATATGATTAAAAAAAGCATACTTCTTACTAATTCCGAAATTCCTGCAGTTTTATTTGTATCAATATTTGTCGAAGTGCTACCACTACAAGGAATCGTTTCCGAAAGCAGATTTTGTGAACTTGGTCTCAACATATTGGGAACAGCATCCAGAATTCCATCCGGTAGTGTGGAACTTTTCAAAGTACTATTTCCTGATTGATGTGCATTTTTTGAAACAACTTGATTTTCCAAATCAGTCGAGACATCAAAAGACTGATTTGAAGCAAAAGCAATTGGAACTTGAGTTTCCAGAGCAGAATTATCTATGTGTGACGTACTAACGGTACTTATTGAAGAATACGATTGCGAAGCAGGAATGTGTGTGACAGATATTGCCGTTGGCTGAGTAAAAGTCGTTGAATTGCTGACTGGTCTGGAAAAGTCGATATCGGCGAGAAGTGATATTGCATTTGATGCTACTTCTGAGGCATTGGAAGTTTTTTGTAGAGTTTGATAAAATCCTTGCTGTTGACAAATATCTCTGCCAGGCAAGTGCTGCGCAAATGGTGCGCACGCTTGCAAGTGTGGGATTGGCAGCGTAGACATTGTCGACAACGCCGACAACGGTTGGCCTTTCTGGAAAAAGTTTCGTAAAAAAGGAACTGTAATAATTTCATGAAAAAAGACAATGTTTTATTATTAAATTAAATTCCATTAAGTTATTTTAAAGAAACTTAAAACGTCCTAGAATGAAATTACTTATGTCCAGTTCTATGTATAGATATGCTCACAACATCCTTCTAACTTATTTGCATTAATTTTCTATATACTCGCACATATTATTACATCCTAGTTCAATCCTTTGCTTCATTCATAATTTATATACTAAGCTGAAAAAATTTCTTGTATACTATACTATTCAGTATACTGCACTAAAATGGCTAAGATACATAGAGCAGATTCTTACCACCTTAAAATTGATAAAAATATCATTATAAATTATCGTTTAATAAAAACTAAACAAGAAGAATGGGTCTTGTCATGTTTATATTGTTCTATTTAGCTCCAAATAAAAGTCAAAGGAACAGAAGTTTACTTGTATTAGTGCAATCAATGCTAAACATGAGAAGAATTCTTGTCGAGTAAGTTGACCAGGTATGGTCCGATTCACCAACGACCATATATTACCGAGTATAGCGCGTGGTAAGCAAGATGTGACCATCAAATTATAAACAAGTGCAGTATTAGGTAATTGTGATTGACTTGGAGCACCGCATTTTGCAATAGCTTCCTTGTAGAAACGTGGGACACGATTTTCTTGGAGAAGTGACGGCGGTACAATACCGCCATTCTGCATTATAAAACCTAAAAGTGAGCAGCCATAATAAATCTTAAAAAATCTATACCACACCATTTTTAATTCAACTTAATTCCATCAGAATGAATAAAAGCAATGGAACCCCATGACAAATCTTGATTTCCCATGAATAATAATTATCATTAATTGATAGCAAAACATTACGCCGACACCATTCCTTTTGATAAACATACCGTTAGTATCGGTATATTCCACATGACCCATAACAATAGCTGCCATAAGTCCAGCCTCAGAGTTTTGTAAGCAGTCGCTAAGACTCCATTTTAACGAAGAAAATCTGCAATGATCCATATAATTTATCAATACAAGTTCTCAAAGCAACAATCAATTAGAGCAGTTCATGAGGTGCAGCGTGTCTTAACATTAGGAATTATTATCTGGTTACGAATACCTCTCCTTAATCATGTGAATGTCAATTAATAAAAATATAGAACAATATCGTGACACTAGATGAAAAATTGAGAAGTCAGAAAACAGAAAGAAATTCATGCGTCGGGTAGAAAAAAGTAAGCGCTAGGGAAAAGCAAACTTCGTTTGAAATCTCTATAAGTAAACAAAAAATTTTAATAATTAATCAGCAGATAAAAGTTACAAACAACAATGCAATTATAAATTGGACTAAAATATTTAACAAAAATTTTTATTAAGGACACTTTTTTTATGAAAAGATAACACAGGTTTTCAGCTTTTTCACAAATATAACTGAAGATTAGTTTGTAATCAAACAAATTGAGTAATCCCACCGATAAATAAACAATTCCCACAGTTTAACAATTACAGGTAAACAAGTTGCATTATAATTTAAAAACTATGCTAGTATTGCAGGATAACCGATAACAATTCTGCTTCACAAGAGATTTCAAAAATAGCATTGAATTATATATATATATAACTTAAAAAGAAATTGAAAGGATAACAAAGCTCATAGATAGGAACCAAAATGTAATTCAAAAACAATTTCTGGCAGTTGACCCTAAAAATGCTAGAATTGGAAAGCTGTACTTGGAGTAGAAACAATATACGACATAGATGGAGCATAAAATGTTGAATAGATGTATGAGATTGCACAGATGAAAAGTGAAGCAAAATTTCACGAGGCATTAATACAATAAAATTGAGCATTAATACAATTATTAACAGCACTCATAAATAAGACTCTCATGCTCAACTCCATTTTCAAGAGAATGCGAACACTATAAAACAAACAGAGAGCCATTAATATAACTAATCAATTCAAAGAAAAGGAAAACATAAGAACTTCAATTAAAATGATGAATGAGAAACCTATAAATTTCCAACTTTATCAAATACAAAAAAGTACTCCAAAACAAAATAAATGTTTAAAAGGAATATCAAGAATTGCAGATTCCTCATTTATCATTTTAACTGATATATCGTTTTGCAGCTTTTCTTATAAAAGTGTGATCTTTTTTGGAAATAAAAATTAAAAATGTTTAATGACATACTCAAAAAACTTAAAAGATTTTCCAAAACTTCTAATTAACCAAATCAACTCAAGCAGCTACCATATTCTTCGCTTTCCGACTGAGCAACAAATTGGCCAACTGTGCTTTAGACGCAAATCCTTCACGCCGGCTTAGTAAACAACGAGCATAATCCGAATCCACCAGTTCCGGATTACAAACGCGAGCATGGTACCGCAACCGTAGAGCCGGTTCAACGGCTCGCATCATATGAATATTTTGATGACCGAGAAAGAGTGATGACAAATCTAACAGCAATGATTTATTGTTTAAACGTGAACGAGTTCGCACAAAATCTGCACCGTATAAAGAAATGACCGAAAAATCCAAGGGATCGAAGTGACCTCGATCCTGAAATATTACGTTTGCTTTTATTTTACATCTACTTTTTCGAAAGCACTGGTAGAAAAATGTATATACATTTTTCTTTTATAATTTTAAATTACAGACTGATTTTTGGGAGCTCAGTAGTGATAACTCATTTAACTAGCTTTCTTGCACATGAGCGGATTAATTCACTATATTATACTAGCTTCCATAGTACAATTGCTTGCAAAATTTGGCAGTTATATTGTTCTTAAACCCACCTTATGGACAATAAGTGGCCGTGTATTTCGTTTAAAGGTAGCATCACGGAACTTGCTCATAAATGTATCTGCACCATCCACAAAAGTTTTTGGTGCTCGAATTTTTTGATCAATTTCATCCATTTCGTGCGCTGCCTGATTGTCGACGTTAGGATTTTTCATTTTTGATTGTAGTACTTCATTTGCGCTCACAATTCGTGGATGATATTCCACAAACGGAAGCGGGAAAAACACCTGCCAAAAAATAACTATTATAAACTGATTACTGTTAGCAGTAATAATAGATGGAAGAACCACAAGCAAATGAAAAAAGAAATGACGATTGTAAACGTATCTAATATTACCGCAGAAGGCACACATTTTGATTTTAGGTAAAACACTTGCTTAGGAAAAATATATCACACTTTGGAAAGCAACTAACCAATTTGATATATCAATGGCTGATGATGTGGTTATTAGAATTAAGCTCCCGAAGTTCCAAGTTATTGAAAGATTTTACTGTCCCCATACACACATTGTAACAGCCGTTACAAATCAGAAAACTCTTACCTGAAAATGTTTGATAGTATTGATGCGCACCCGATCAAGAAACTCACGCTGAATATCAGCATGCGGTGACAATAAGAGATATATCATTTGCTGGCCAAAATGATCAACTGCTTCATCTAGTGCTGCTGCTGCCAAAACTGGATGACTGTCTTGTTTCAATATTATTAACATTGTTTCTGTTTGCGCTGGTTTACACCTGAAAGAATCAAATAGCTAATAAGACACAATTCCAAAAATTTTGGACCTTGGGAAACTAATTCACAGGATCTTCAAAGAAACAAAAATTTAATAACAATATTAATATACCGCATTCTCAATTCAATAATATCGTTGTTAAGTAGTCGAATGGCGAAAGGATCAACGCTACGTACAGCCACAACCAATCTAGTTTGTCGGTTATCACCAACTGATGACTGACATAAGCTCACATAATGAACTATGAATCGACGAACAGCGCCCACTTCATCATTTGATCCAAGTGGTATTAAAATTGTTAAATCAGTATCTTCTTTCACGTAGGGTACCTCAATGAGCATTTCTTTAACGCACAATATCTTAATAAGATGATAGAATTATTTTTCAAAATACTCAAATTTTAACCTAAAAATGTTAGAAAGCTATAGATTGAAAGAATGATGAAGGATGAAGAATAACAATAAAAAGTATATAGTAATGTTCTACTATATAATAAATGAAGCGAAATTAAGTAACTTACTTGCTGTAAAAGTTGATTATTTGATATTATTCGGGTCAAATGAATACGATGCACCTTGCTTCCATCTTTGTTACGATATAATAAATCTACGATATAATCCATACCTCTCACTGGGTCAAATAAACGATAACCGTTTCGCAGTTGCAAAAATTCTTCATCACTTCCTTCACCACTTTCTTTAATAAATTTCCGAGCCGCTGCAACTATCTAAAAAAAATTGGTCGATATACGAATGCAATGACATGCTTCAGAACATAGAAATTCGAATTAAAATATAAGATTAATTAAAACCCGAGATCTCTAGGACTAAATTTCTATAATCAAACTTTAAAGGAGAAAATACAAATTGTCTCAATTCTGATATCAATTCTAATATCTGATATCAAGGACAAATTAAAACAGTCTATTACTGAACTTATAATTCATCATTTAACTAAAGCCGTCGAACGATTACTAAATTTTAACTTCGATAAGCAGAAAAAATGAATTTATTCAAATATAAATCTAACAGGAATAATTTGTTCAAAAATAATCACAATAATAAACCTCTTCAACATCTAGTTTATCATCTCCACTTAATGCGTAAACATTTTGGTTTGGTTCATTTTTGAAGATCTCTGTACTTGTAAAGAAATGCCATTTCGGAACCTAAAAACTAAATTTATTGTAATTATTCCTGGCATTAAACTGCATAAAACTTATAATACAACCAGCAAAAACGGTTTAGAAAACACCTGATAGCGATCTGGTGCCTTTGAATAAGGTGGTAAACCAGCTGGCTGCGATGGTCCGTCAACAGTATCATACGATAATGAGACAATTTCAGCAGATAAGCTATCAATTTCATATTCAATTCGATTCAATTCGACATGTAAGAAATGTTGATGAAGCGCATGAGCATCTGCATCCGAAAGCAAGGGTGAAACACTGAGGGATCTGAAATACATCAAGCAGTTATGATACATTTCTTTTTGACCGTGGAATAAAATTACTCGTAATCAAGGGACGTTTAAAATTGAGTAAAGTCATTCACCGATTAAAATCTTGTGACGATGAGGCCCACCACGCAACGGTATCATGTATCGCTGTGCCACTGCCGCCTTCGGATAATCCTTCATCGGCTTTCCACCAGTGATACGCTCGACTCTGAATAAACCAAATCAATGATTCAAGACAAATGACAAGGTACTGATTAGGAAATAAAAACCTGATAATAACTGGTGCACGACAAGTTTGTTGCAAGATGGATGCAAAGTTCGAATGCATTATGGTCTAAATTACTAGATATGGAACTGCACAAGTGTCTGAAGTGCCTGCAACACTGATTAAAAGTAGCTTATGTGAAATTTTATTTTCTGCCAGCAGTTTTTCTACTATGTAACTCAATAATTCGAACATGCAAATTGACAAAATTGTTTATTGTTTTACATATTTCTTTCCGTCAAAGCATATCATGAGTTTAAATTACAAAGCAATCATTTTAATTTGAAATTTCTAAGAAAATTAGAAAAGAATTGGATATATCTCTTACTGGACAAGGGATTGCATGGCAAGATTTGTTAGCAAAATTCCGGCTTGCAAGCTACATCTGTTCGTATTATCTGCAGTTCCAACACCAATAACCACACGACGGTTCCAATTCACATGATTTACAAATCGCATCAGTTCGAATGGATTTACGTATGTCGTATCAGGTATCAAGTAATACCAGTCGAATTTTTCGTGCATGGTTTAAAATAAATTTAAAACAATAAGAACTAGAAACGCTTCGAAACACATTTTTTTTTTTCAAACTATAGACAAAATAAAAAATTTACATTGTTAACTTAAGAAATTGTCACATTTTAATTCAAGTGATTCCAATTGATAACCTTGTAGTGGCAAAGAAGTCATGTCTTGTGATAAGCAGTAATATAAAACAATATAAGTATGCATATACGGATAATATTATTAATATTCAACAACTAACCATATTAAAAATGAGACTGAGAACTGGTATATGTGAGTGTTGTCCATTTAGTCTATACGGTGTGAGATTGGGAAGAGTGGCTATGTCACCATCGATACGAGAGATATCAGCGAAGATCTGCAGGTGAGGTACATGCCGGCCGATGGATGCATTCAATGCCACCATTAGTGAAGACTGCCCGAGAAGGATGACCACAAGTTTCTCGCGTATTCCTAATTCCGTTGCTGCAAATCCGGCTCTAACTACCTAAAATGACTTAATGCAATGCCAACTTCAAAGGCTTTGCTTTCAATTTATAACAATGCTTCCGATGCAGCCAACTAGATGAGAATTTGCATGTTCAATCCATGAATATTCAATGACTAATGCTTTACATTGAATTGTTGTTGCAGTACGATACAAACGTTTGACTCTGATATTTATAAATTAACAAATGCAATATCAATAAAGTAACCTTCCGAGTCTGAGATTGACCATTAATTGAAGTAGTTGCAGCTTTTTTGATAATAACTTTCCAGTGCTCACTTGATAACTCCTCATTCGGCATTTCCGGTGGAATCAGTTCATCCGGTAGAAACAGCAGTACTGACAAAAGTACGCCAAGTACCAAACCCGAAGTGAGCGATACACCTGCACGCACTCCATGCACCATTGACCCTTCAGCGATCTGTTATTATTATACTCCCATTTCGTGATTTCCCATAAATACTATCGACTTTGAAGGTTATGCCTTTGATCGGCTGTTTCTATTACATGAGTGCACAGTACAGAAAATGGGGAAAAGGTAAACAATCCCACAATAAAAGGCATACTCGACAAGGTTCTGGAATTCACTATTAATCATCGTCCGACACTCCTCCAATTTCTTTTATATCTCCAATCCGAGTTCCCAAATCAAAATAATAAACTTCAGGCTTCTCAGAGACAGATACTCTATACTGCGAGCTTTACTTGTTAGCACTGTTATTCTCTCCCAACCTCTTTCCATTGCTGCCACCACAATTCATTCAACCTCTGACATCTTTGCACCACACAATCTTATCAATCTCTGCGTTCTCTTCAATCACACACACACTTCATTTGGTAGCAGTTTTTCGTGATTCCTAACATTCTCTCTAAACTTTCCACAAGTATCCTTCGTCTCTCAACTCTCAACTTATTTGAATTCTCTCAATCTCTTTCTCATCTCTCTAATGCTCTCTAGTTTTACTGTATTTTCTCGGCATGAACTTTACATAATTACTGGGCAGATAGATGAATTGCTAGAATTGTTTTCACCGTTGTCTTATACACGTTACCCGTGGTATTCAGCAGACAGTTTGGTGAGTAGATTGTTCTTTGTTTGGATTAATTGTTGAAAGAGTTAAGGTTATTGAAATTTATTTAGCATCTCGAATTTTACTAGTTTAATTTAATTGAAAGAGAGGATTAGATAAAATCGATTTCAGTAAACTGCGAAGCGATGGATACGGATTTATATGACGAATTTGGCAATTATATAGGACCTGAATTGGATTCGGATGATGAAGAAGATGAGGATACTCTCGCTTCGAATGCTCAAAAATTGGATGATGATGGGAAAGAGGAAGAGGAGGTACATTTGTATCTATTTTGCACTTTTCTGTTACATGTAACATTTCTGACACTGTCGTTTTCTACGATTTTTGCTATCGAAAGAAAGAAAGTTGAAGAAACTGTTCTTATTCTTTGACAATGTTTGGTACTTTATTTATGCAGTTAAATATCAGTAGCAATTACTTGTTTGGTTAAACAAAAAGTTAGATTAAGCAGGCATTATTTTTAATCAATTTCATGTGTAAATTCTCCAGGATGATGAGGCAATGAATGATGATATCGACCAAATATCGTCTAATCAAATTGTATTACATGAAGATAAGAAATATTACGCAACAGCAATGGAAGTATGTTTTATGTCACATCGGTTGTAAACTAAATGTTATAGAAATTATTTAAATTTGAAATGAAATTTCAGCTTAGAAATAGTCATAAAATCAGGTGCTTCTTATTTGCTATGATTATATGATTTAAACGAAATTCTTATCTTTCATATTTTTGGATTCTATTTTCAGATTTATGGCGAGGACGTTGAAACAATTGTGCAAGAAGAAGATGCTCAACCTTTAACAGAGCCAATTATAAAACCCATTAAACAACGAAAATTTCAAGTCAGCTCATTAGAGTTTCACTTCTTATTGAAGGATTTACTTAATTTAGAAAAATGATTTCGTTTGTTGCGTTAATTTGTCTATGGATCACTTTTCAGGCACTCGAGCATGCCTTACCAGAAACAACATATAATAAGGAATATCTTGCTGATTTGATGGACTGTCCACATGTTATGCGAAACATTGCAATCGTTGGTCACCTCCATCATGGAAAAGTAGACTTTTAATCTTCATAACTTATTCATCAGTTTTCATGTAATCGGAAAAAGTAAAAATTCTTCCAAAACAGACGAAATTCTGTTTTCTTAAATAATATGAAGATAACAAAAAGTATAGCCATTGACCTTGCTTTTTTAGACTACTTTCATTGATTGTTTAATGGAACAAACACATCCAGAATTTGTTCGTGATGAAGATTCAGACACTCGTTATACTGATACTTTATTTATTGAGCAGCAACGTGGTTGCAGTATTAAAGCTACACCAATTACCATTGTCATGCAAGATTCACGCCAAAAAAGCTTTTTGTTAAATATAATCGATACACCAGGTAATGTGCATTTTAGTGATTGGTAAAGTCATTTCTCGTTGCATAGTCTTGTTTTGATGCATAGATGAGATTTGATTTGCAGGACATGTCAATTTCTCTGATGAGGTGACGGCAGCATACCGCTTAAGCGATGGCGCCTTAGTTGTGGTAGATGCACACGAGGGAGTGAGTTTTATCATTTTATCACAAAATATAGATAATTTTTATTTCTTTCCAGTTTCAGTTGTGTATATTTTTAGGTTATGTTGCAAACGGAAAGAGCAATTCGGCATGCTGTACAAGAGCGGTTGCCGGTTACTGTCTGCATAAACAAAATTGATCGGTTGATGTTAGAGCTGAAATTGCCTCCTACAGATGCTTATTATAAACTTCGTTTTATTCTGGATCAAATTAATAATTTGCTCCAGTAATACTTTATATATCTGTTTTGTTTTGCATAAGAGGACAGTTTATTTCTTAATTGTAGCTTGTAATTCAGTTTATTATTGAGTACTGAAGATATAATTTAATTGGTGATACGATGTTGTTTACGTTTTCCTATATTAGAAAATCATCACAACTAAAGAAAGAGGAATACCTGCAAGTTTCAGTTTGCTTGTCTCTTTCTTCTTCGTAAACTAACGGTCGTTGCTATGTATCGGTGAGAAAAAGGGCATTATTTAGTTTGCCAAATTATTATGACAATATACGAGTACTTTATTTTTGGTTTCCAGAACATTCAGCGATGAAAATGAACCAGTGAAAGTATCACCTTTACTCAACAATGTGGTTTTCGCTAGTTCTAGATACAACATATGCTTTTCATTACGAAGTTTTGCTGAATTGTACGCCAGTACTTATGGTATGCTTTGTTTACAGGAATTTCCGCATTTTCAATTGATCCATTTTCATTTTTATTAATGAAATCCCTGTGATTTTTTTAATTTTTCATTGCATAACTTTACAGGGACATTCAGTGGAGAAGAATTTGCAAAGCGTTTATGGGGCGATCAATACTTCGACAAAAAGACTCGAAAATTTGTGAAAAAACCACCACATCAAGGGGCTTCACGATCTTTTGTAGAATTTGTTCTCGAGCCGCTTTATAAAATATTTTCTCAGGTCAGTATTGCCGTGTCATTTTTCATTTAAATGAATTCTCCTATATACAGCCATATATGGTATTTTGTTGTTAAGGTTGTTGGCGATGTGGATACATGCTTGCCATCGATGATGGCTGAACTGAATATTAAACTGACCAAGGAAGAACAGCGAATGAATGTACGACCACTAATTGCTCTGATTTGTCGTCGTTTCTTCGGCGACTTTAACTGTGTGTATTTAACATCTATCGGCTGTACTTCTTAAATATGGAAAAATGATTTTGGATTACTACATGGATAATTGAAGCTGGTTACCAGCAGTCACTTTCGTTATTAAACGATAATCACAAATGTATTGCAGCTTTTGTCGATCTTGTTACACAAAATATTAAATCACCATCGGATAATGCAAGCACGAAAGTGGAACATACTTATTTAGGACCGATGGACAGCAAATTGGCGCAAGCACTCATGAAATGTGATGCTGATGTAAGAATTAATTGAAAAGGACTTTTTAGCTTTAAAGAGATCGAATAGAATATCATTCAATTTTGCAAAAAAGAGCAGAGAATACAAAAAAGACCAGAATTGTTTTAGGGTCCTCTAATGGTTCATACTACAAAGAACTATGCAACAACTGATGCAACATCATTTTATGTTTTTGGCCGAGTTATCAGTGGAACATTACATGCTGGACAAGACGTACTCTTTGTTTTTTCAGTTTTAGTTTTTATCAAAACTAATATGCACTCTGATATTTATCTTAAAAGCCAGAGTTGGAATTTGAATTTCATTGTATTTTGCAGGTTCGAATTCTTGGTGAGAATTATAGTATTCAAGATGAAGAAGATTGTAGGATTATGACAGTGGGTCGCCTATGGATTAGTGTTGCAAGGTTTTATTGATATTTTGATTCTTCGATAGAAGGTTTAGTCCTTTTAACTTGCTCTTTGTGCAATTTTCCGTTTTGCAGGTATTCAATGGAGGTATCTCGTGTTCCAGCTGGAAATTGGGTGTTGATTGAAGGAATTGATCAGCCAATTGTGAAAACATCAACCATAATGCAAGTTGAATATGACGAAGATGTAAGCTGAAATTTCACAATATTTCTGCGAATTTTGGAAACATTTACTTAAATGTCAACGTGTCTTTTAGGTTGATTATTAAATTTTTTTAAAGGTTTACATATTCCGTCCTCTGAAATTTAACACGAAGTCGGTTGTCAAGCTCGCGGTAGAGCCCATTAATCCTTCAGAGCTTCCGAAAATGCTCGATGGTTTGCGTAAAGTATGTTTTAAAAAATGAATTTTTTTCAGTACTGTTTTTTTTCATTACTGTTTTACCAATAGTTTTCCTTCTTTGTCAATTCTCCTTTTTTTCAATAATTTTTCGCACTTAAAATCTGTCAGTTTTATCGAATATTTAAATTCAAAATCTGTGCAGGTCAACAAATCATACCCGTTGTTGACAACTCGCGTTGAAGAGTCTGGAGAACATGTTATGCTTGGCACTGGAGAACTTTATATGGATTGCGTGATGCATGATATGCGGAAGGTTCATATTATTAGTTCGTTTTCTTTTTCGTCGTATTTTTGACAACAAAAAGCGATTTCGAAAAATGCTGACTGATTACAGCAGGTTTGCTAGATCAGTCGGTCGAACAAGTTAATCATAGTGTTACTTCATTGCACATATTAGTACTGTTGCTAAAGTTGACTAAATTTAGGTGTTTTCGGAAATTGATATCAAAGTGGCTGACCCTGTTGTTTCGTTCTGTGAAACTGTTGTTGAAACATCATCCTTGAAATGCTTCGCCGAAACGCCTAATAAAAAGTACAAATTACAAATTTTGCAAGTTATTCTTAGAATTATGACTTTAGTTTTCACGTCTCAATAAAATTTTAAATCTGCAAAAGTTTTTCATTTCTACAGAAATAAATTAACAATGATAGCCGAACCGCTGGAGAAAGGTCTTGCGGAGGACATCGAAAACGAAGTAGTCCAAATTGGATGGAATAGAAAACGTCTCGGTGAATTTTTCCAGACAAAATATGATTGGGATTTGTTAGCAGCACGAAGCATTTGGGCTTTTGGTCCAGATACAACTGGGCCAAATGTACTTCTCGATGATACTCTACCATCTGAAGTTGATAAACAATTATTGGGAACAGTTCGTGAATCACTTGTACAAGGTTTTCAGTGGGCTACGCGTGAGGGACCACTGTGCGAAGAACGTCAGTTTGTTGCTCTCTTTTCATGATATTTTGATGAATTTTTTGATAAATCAAATATATTTAAAGTATTGAAAACATGCAGTCTTGTCGGATTTCAGCTATACGCAATGTTAAATTCAAAATGTTGGATGCAGTAATTGCAAGTGAACCGTTATACCGTGGTGGTGGTCAGATCATTCCAACTGCTCGTCGATGCGCATACTCTGCTTTCCTGGTAATTGTTGATTTTCCGCATCATTCCACATCTGCACTTTTGTACGACTTTCACATAATGAAGACTTTGGAATCGATATTCTACTGCTGAATAAGCTAAATAATTAATTTGAAGTTATATTATCAAAATAACTGATATTGCAGAATTTATTTATATATCTCAAGTACGATAATGTGTCAAATTACGACAAACTAGTTTATAAATATTTGAGCAAATGTTTGGATTTGTCTCGTCAAAAATTTAATTAAGATGGCTACGCCTCGCTTAATGGAACCGTATTATTTTGTGGAAGTAACAGCACCAGCAGATTGTGTTAGCTCGGTGTATACAGTATTGGCAAAACGACGTGGTCACGTGACTACCGATGCGCCTATTCCTGGATCACCGCTTTATACAATCAAAGCTTACATACCTGTCATTGATTCGTTTGGTTTTGAAACTGATTTAAGGACTCATACTCAAGGACAGGCATTTTGTTTAGCAGTTTTCAGTCATTGGCAGGTACGAATTTTGTTAAATTTAATGTTCCAAGAGTTGCATGGTGATTTACTATCAGTTTTATTTCATGATTCGTTTTTTCGCCTATTAATCGCAACAGCAAATGACTAAGAAAATAACTTCTTTTTTCAAATTTGAGAGATAATTTAAAAATTTTTCAGATTTCAGAGTCTGCAATTGACTTAAGGTTTCAATTTTTCATATTTTTGCAGATAGTGCCAGGTGATCCGCTGGATAAAAGTATCGTGATAAGGCCTTTAGAACTCCAGCCTGCTCCTCATCTAGCTCGTGAATTTATGATAAAAACCAGGCGTCGAAAAGGTCTCAGCGAGGATGTTTCAGTGAACAAATTCTTCGACGATCCTATGCTTTTGGAATTGGCGAAACAACAAGATGTCTTCAGCTACAGCAACTTTTAATATTATTTTTTCTGTATTTGATCTCGTTTTTGTTTTCTATTTTTCTTGAATTTCAGATTTTTTTTGCCGTTATCAGGAAAAGACTTAGTTCTCTTTCTGTTTTTGTTAAAATTGTTTTCCAAGTAGTATAAACTTTATATAATCAAGATTTTAATGTTTTGCAGAAGTTGCAGAACTGAAAGGTTATTCTTCACGAAACATTGCTTCTTCATTGATTGTTTGATCAATTAATAGGCGATGTTTCGATCGTCCAAAAGGTTATTTGTTGTACATTTTTGGCTTGTCTTCACATCGAAATGAGTTACGTCGCATCTTTCTGGAATTAATTAAGTTAAAGAAACTACTTTGAACTCTTGAAAATGGGAATATTGAGTTCGAGCCTAGATGTAATTTTCTTCAGCTGGTGGCATAAAGCTTTGAAGTTTTACCTCTAATCCCTGGATCTCCTTATCTGCTGTTTTCTCTGTAGACCAGTCTCGTTTGGCTTCATCTTCTTCACACAGTCGTTTATGCTTTACTCCTGATTCTGGTCGTCGGCGAGATGACATTCGTCGCATTATATATGCTAAAATTTTCATCCAAAAGTGAAATTAAAATAGGCTTGGATATACCACTTAAAAAAATTTTTTCCGGCTGGAAATTTGTCTATTTATTACTCTAGTGAGACTTTTTCTCGAAATGGCATTTTAACCGGATTGCAAATAAACTAACATAGTCGGCGAACAATATCTTCCATGCTTTGCTGAGGCTCCTTTTCCTTGGCCCATTGTTGAAGTTCTCCTTTAGCGAATACGAGAAATGTGATCATGGCAGCGAGATCAATAGCAGCTGCTATTAAAAATGATGTTCTCCATCCCTCTTTGGTACCCTGAATTAATTTTTTCAGTTCATGGTTGAAAAGTTGGATTTTTTTGTGAATAGTTTAAAATCTGTTGTATGTTTACATCTGAACATATGTGATCAAATGAATTACTTGTTTTTATCAATTCTCATTCTTGCTGACGACGTGCTCGGTTAATATTTATTTAGACGGTTAAAAAGTGAGATCTAGTCACTTTTTCCTAAGTCCACTATAAATTCTGTCGATGATAGAATTGATCCATAATGCAAGATTTAGTATCTTTATAGGGCAAGTTGAAGTTTCAGTAAATCGGATTTTGATCCTTGCATTGATCCAAAAGTGTAATGGAATCTCAATGAAGATAGTATTGAGAAACATGCTGAAGATGGCACAATTTCAATAATTTCGAGAAATAATTGCCTGCGAGAACAAACCTGCGCAGCGACAAGATGTTCCAAAACGAAACCACTGGCACCGGCCAGAGCGCTAATACCATTTGAGAAGCCCATCAGAATCGGAGCATATCGTGGTGCTATATCAAAGTGATTTACATTGAATCCTGTAATTAAGAATCTTATTAATTTCACTTTCAAGAATTAGAGAAAGAAATAATTCAAATTACATTCTGATCTTGTGGAATTCTTTCATAATATATACCTACAATACCGAAGCCACTACATCCTGCAGCAAATATTAATGTGGTAACTGCAGCAGACGGTTCGCTGATAAGAGATAAACAGCAGAGGAATAGCGCCTCACCACCAAAACCTGCAAATCGAGCTTCATTTTAAAGCATTTGAAATAGCATTTTTTATTAGTGGCATCTTATGAGAGATATCGAGAAGCCATCTGTATTAATTCCTTGTCTTAGCTGAATTAGCTGTTTTCCAAAATCTCAACAAATTTTATATGTCCAAATATGAAGTTCATCATAATCTCAGATAAAATTATATTTGAAATAACTCTTCGCTTCTCACGTTCGAATGACTTAAATATTTGAAGCAGAATTTTTAAACTGCAAAAACCAACCTAATGTGTTAAATAATTTGCGAACCATTTGAGTTGACATTTTACCGGTTGAACGTAGATAGTCAGCCATTTGACCTGAAGCCAGGACAATAATCGACATGAGTGCATGCGGTAACGATGAGATCAAGCCACCCTTAAATTGATCAATAACATATCATTAAATTTTTGATAATTTTTTAAAAGAAATCTCTTAAAGCATTATGAATTATTAATCATTAAGCAAAAAAAAAACTTACACTTTGTATTTCGAGGTGTAACACATCCTTCATATAAGTTAACTGATTACCGAGTAGGAGGAAAAATGTCCATGAACGACAGAAATTACTGATAACAATCGCCCAAACCGGTGGTGATAACAAAATTTCCTTCCATGGAATCGTTGTCAACTAAAATTTCCAATTTTTTTTAGCTTCTTTTGCAATACAAATTGCATAGAAATGAAAATATTGATTGCATGAAAAAGATTTATAGTACTTGTGAAATTTAAAAAGAAAAATAATTTAAGATTTTCTGGAAAAATTTAATTTGTTAAAATACCGTTGCTGGTGAAGATGTAACTTGTCCGACTTGTTCGATAATAAATCGTTTTTCGTCATCCGAAATTGATTTACTCATTTCTGGTGTTGGTGCGCTAACAGCAAACCAAATTAGGAACCATAATATCCCCGCAGCACCTTTAAATTTAAAATCATTCGATCTTTTTATTTAACAATTTAATTGAATTTGATTTAAAAGAAATTTTTTGAATAAGCTTACCGAAAAAATAAAACGGTGCACACCAATCGATATAGGAAACGAGATAAGCAGAAATTGGTAGACCGATCATTACACCCAGATATCCACCGGTAAATGTCGTTGTAGCAAGTTTGGAGCGTTCCATTGGTGGTGCCCAATGCCGCCAAACACCATGCATTGCCGGATAACTTATTCCCTTCAAATACGAGTATAATTTTAATTTGTGAAATGAAATTCACTTCTTTTAAACTATAAAATATAATAGGCCGATATTTTTGAACTTCTGATTCAATACATTAGACCCAACTGAATCAGATATTAGACCTGCTTTTCGTCCTCAGTTTTAATTGTATGTACAAATCTAACTTTTTATATGAGACTATTGAAATTTTCAAAATTTCAAGATGCCATTAGGATTTAGGAAAAAATTTTTTTCATTCTAAATTAAGATTTTTTTGATCGTAGTACTTATAAAATTACTGGTTACAATATTTTATGAGTTCTGGTAGGCAAAATGTTCACTGATAAATATACATATCGTAGTAATTTAAAATAATGAATAACACGAACAGTTTTATTAGACTGTTTAAAATGAAATTAAAGTTTACCAATGAAAGGCCTTGACAGATTTGTATGGCAAGGACAATGAAATCGGTGTGTGGATGTGCGCTTAATGCTAACGCCAAGAATAAATTTAATATAGCAGCAATGAGTATTGAAAATCCGAATAATCTGTAACATTTATCAATTTGTATTTTCAATCAAATAATTTCATTAATATACTGAAAACATTTATGCTTACATTAAAAAAAATAATTAATAACACGAACAAAGTTAAAATTAACTTAAAATTTAGCAACGAAAAGCCTTAATAGATTGTTATTGCAACGACAATAAAATTAGTCATATAAATTGATAAAATCTGTGTAAAAAGTCTTTCAACATTTATAAATAAATAAGCAAAATTTGTTTGGTATAAAAAAAAAAAACTTACAAATTTGGAGCATATTTAGCAGCAAGCATGCCACCTGGTATTTGTGTGATAGCATAGCCATAGAAGAATGCACTTTCCATAAAACCAAGTTCAGTTGGTGACCAGTAAAATTGTTGTGTCTATAATTACCATAATTAGTTTTTCTTTTTTTACATTTATGAATTCCATACGCTAAAAAATTTTGATCACCACTTATCAATTTAAGCAACCAAAATTTCGGATTATTTTTAATTTTAAACTTTCGATCTATTTCTTTCTAACTTATAATTTGGTTAACTTTATTTTAGTTTACTTTAAAAAAAATCTTTTTTTTTGCCAGTTTGATGGGTATTTTTTCCAACAAATTACCATTACATTCAGCGATTTTTTTTTTCAAATTTTAAACATTTTTCTGAAACAAATATAACAATAATACATAATCCATAAATTGCTATTCTCCTTACTTCTCAACTAATAAGCCTAATTCTTTTCGGTTAAGCAATAATTTCTTTAGAGAATATCGATTCATTATGCATATAATTTTGTCGATCAATCCTATCATATCAGCCGAATATCGTTAAATTTTCACATTGCTTCATTTTCAATTACATTCTCAATCAATACTTTCATCTTCTAAATTCCCTCTGTGTTCTACGATTTCAATGATAGTATTGCACATTTCTCGAATTTCAAATTTTATTAATACATTGTTTCCGCACAGTGCTGCCATCTCTCTAATTGATCTCCTGTAGAAGAGATCATTGACTGATCGCTGTTTACTACACAACCGTGCTGAATATTGAAATGAAAAAAAAAAAGTTCATTGATAACAAAAGCAACAATGAAACTTCTTGAAATATTCCTTGTCCAAAGTCTATCTTGGAAAATCCAGTACTATTTATCATTATTAAGCTAATCACTTTTATAGCGATTAGTAGTTGAAATTATCATCAGCAGTGTGACGCCAAAATTCCCTTAAAATAGGAAATTTTTTAATCGAATTGAGTTCAGAGTAGATCATTTTTAGCTTGTATTCCAGCATTATTTAGTATGGCAGTTAATTTTGGTATAGCATTTCTTGATTTAATTAATATTTTTCTTCTGAAGCTTAGATTTGCTTCCGAAATTACGTCAAAATTCCGTCCTTTCTGTTACATCTGTTTTGACCATTCGAAAATAGCAAAATCGTTGTTGATTGCTTCAAAATTTCCATTTCCTTTCCCATCGAATTATAAATGCTACAAAGTTTCTGCTGCAATCTTTCTCCTTTCGCATTGATATTACCGCTTGTTAAGCAATTTGTTATTTTATTCCCAAAACGTTTTTCATCCTTCAAGCCTTCCCATTTAGCATATAAATTGTTAAATTAGTGATTTGCAGCTGTCGTAATGATTTCGCCAACTTCTTCTGCGACACATCTTTGCTGTCGCATTTGTCGCTCTTGTCCGTTTCCTTTTTTGCGTTATTAGTAGCAATCCAACTATTCTTTCTTTTTTTTTCTTCAATTTAGTATAAAATCGTCAATCATCCAATCGAATAGACCTTTGAACCCGTTTAATATAGTATCATAGAATATTATGGCATTTATAATAATGACCATTAACTGTCATTATTGTTTTTCCAGAAGCTGATACGATGATGTAGATATTGTTAAGGAATATTCACTATATAAAAGATATCTGGTAATTCCCAATACCCAGGAAAATGCTGTTGACGTAAATGACGCTTAAATCTTCTTCACAGAACTCCCATTCTTTTCACCAATCAATAAGTAAAATGGATGAATTAAAATTGCTAAATATATGAGAAATTTTGCGCCTATTCTTCCAC